ACAAATTTTCTTATTTTATTTTTTAAAATTCTATTTCATTTTTATCTTACTTTATTTCATACCGGATCAAGTTTTCCGAGATTTTCATGCAAATAATATCTGGCAAGTGAAACAATAATGATATAATTGATCTTACCTGAAGCAATTCCAGGTCACATTGAAAAATATCGGAAATCATTGATTTAAAGTTTGGCTCTTTTTTTTTTAAAATGCATCTTTTGCGCCAAATATATGTGCGCAACCAAATGTGAAATATCGTTGTATTTGCGAATGATATTGTTTTATTCTTTGGACAATTGCGCTTTTATTGCAGAAATTGAATGAAACCAACGAAAAGGTAAGTAGTAGAATTTAAAATTAGTTGTGATAAGGTAAGTAATAGAATCTAAAATTAGTTGTGATAAGGTAAGTAATAGAATTTAAAATTAGTTGTGATAAGGAAAGTAATAGAATCTAAAATTAGTTGTGATAAGGTAAGTAATAGAATTTAAAATTAGTTGTGATAAGGAAAGTAATAGAATTTAAAATTAGTTGTGATAAGATAAGCAATAGAATTTAAAATTAGTTGTGATAAGGAAAGTAATAGAATTTAAAATTAGTTGTGATAAGGAAAGTAATAGAATTTAAAATTAGTTGTGATAAGATAAGTAATAGAATTTAAAATTAGTTGTGATAAGGAAAGTAATAGAATTTAAAATTAGTTGTGATAAGATAAGTAATAGAATTTAAAATTAGTTGTGATAAGATAAGTAATAGAATTTAAAATTAGTTGTGATAAGGAAAGTAATAGAATTTAAAATTAGTTGTGATAAGATAAGTAATAGAATTTAAAATTAGTTGTGATAAGATAAGCAATAGAATTTAAAATTAGTTGTGATAAGGAAAGTAATAGAATTTAAAATTAGTTGTGATAAGGAAAGTAATAGAATTTAAAATTAATATTTGTGTTTAATTGTGTGTGTACAATGGACAAATTTTAAAGCTGATTGAAATAAATGCTTTATTTGAAATCAGAATGCAAAAACTGAAATTATTCATTTATAATTAATATTTCTTCAAACATTAATGAGAGAGAAGGAATATTTCATTTTATTTAAGTGATAAATTTGATAGCAATATTATCAATTGAAATTACTGGATAAAATGATAAAAGAAGAGTTAAATAAAGCGTAGTGAAGCGCAAATGTTAAAATGTTCATCAAGTTAACAAATTGCGCTTTATCACTCCTAATTTCAAGTAATATTTTATTTTTCAAATAATTTTTCTTTTTTTTTTTTTTTTTTTTTTTATAAGCATAACATTTATTGTGTTTGCAGTAATGAATTTTAATATAATAGTTGAACAATTTTTGGCAAAAATTTATTTGAATTTTTCACTTTTTTCAAAATATGAATAAATAATTGAAATGTTATTGTCTGAGTTAAAATTCAATACAATATCATTTTCATAAATAAATTTGATATACATGTATCCTCTGATGTGATAAACTGATAAGTTTCATGAGTAGCAAACATTTCATTATGATAATAATTAATAGAAATATAAATCAATTATGAGCAAAACTTTTATTAGAAAATTTAATTGAAAGATGGACGAGTATTTAAAACAAATTTTATTGAACAACAAAAAAAAGATACATCTTAGCTAAAAACTTTTAATAACTTCCATCATTTTTATTAGATTTATTCTTTATTTCTCATTTTATAAATATATTATTTATTTAGAAAAGAAATTAATTAAATTAGCTTGCTTGTAGAAAAAAAAAAAAAAAACATATTCGATATTTCATTTCAATTTGTTAAAGATTGTAAATTTCGAAAAATTGAAATTTTTCTCTAAAAAAAAGAAAACAAATATTGAGCATTTTAGTTAGAATAAATACAAATATAACATAACTTTTCATAGAAAGTTATATTACATATTTTTATCATATGTATAGTTTTAATTTAAACTATTAATTCGTAGATTAATTCTAAATTTTTTCATCCTCAATACATTATCACTGATAATCTCTTCTGCTTCAATAACTTTAAGTACTACTAATTTACTAACACCTGAAAATGTTTATCAAAAATCATTAATGAATAAATTTCTAAGTCATTCGATATTTTCTCAATTCCTTCTAAAAAAAAAAAAAAACCAATTCAAAACAAACAAATAGAAATAAATGATAAAATTGACAAAATTTTTCCATTACAAATTGCAAATTTAGAAAAAATTTAAAATTATTTCTTGTTTGTTTCATTTATTGTTCAACATGAAAACATATAACCAAATTTTGAAATTTTTACACTAATTCCCTTGAATATAAATATATGCTTGAAAGTTAACTTTTAAATTTAGTACCAATTTCAAATAAAATAGTAATTCATTCAACATTGTGTGAATTAGCACAACAAAATAGCTTGCAGTATTAATGTTACAAATTTTCATCGAAGAAAGGATGAAAAATACATGGAATTTATATTAAAATGATAAATTCAAAAAAAAAAAAAAAATAAAAAAATAAAATAAAATAAATAAATAAATTTTAGTCAAATATCAATTATTGACTAATAGTATAAAATTATGATTTTTTCATATTTATGAAAATTTTGGTCAGTAAATCAAGAGCGAAACGCATCAGAATGAAACTATACACAAATTAATGACTGATTTGTACGATATTAAATTACAATAATAAAAAAAATAAACAAACAAACTTTGGATAGCTATTATTAAAGCAGTCCTTTAAAAAATATATTAATAAAATCCTGAAGAAATATACATCAATAAAAAAATTAAAATAAACAATAGAAAAAAAAAACAAAAAAAAAAAAAAACAAATAAATATATCAACACTTCAAATTTGTGATGAAAAAAAATTTCAAAAAAAAAGAAAGGAAAAAAATTTAACTAAGAGGTGATTTCGGAAAATTATACTTATCAATAAATATTTTCTCCTTCATCATAATTCATAGATAAGTTTACAAATGAATTTGAACCACTTTTTCATCATATGTGTAATTTCAAAAATTCTTGAAATTAAATTCTCCGGAAATTACAACGATAATTTCATTTTCAATAAAATTGGAAGTTTATTTTTTACTGAAATTCGCTTATTCTCCTCAAATTCACTACCCCAACATTTCAGGATTATTTTTTTTTTTTTTCAAAGATGATTTTTCTAACTATTCCATTAAGAAGTAAAATTTAGAATTCGTTCTTAATGCTAAACTTGAGAATGCTCGATATGTTGAAATAAACTTATGAAACAAATTATCATAAAATAAAAAATGCAAATTTCTTATCGCTATCATAACTCACAAAAATATCAAATATCAATAGATAAATCTAAATAAAGCCAGAAATAACGATAGAGGATCAACTAATAAAATTTCGGAAAATCATCTGAAATATGAGAAAAAGAAAATGGAGCTAATGTTATAATTATTAACTTGTTATTATACAAATGTGAAATTGAAAACTGGAAAACATATATTAATAGTAAATCATGGCATATTTCATACAGAAATTTAAACTAAAACAAAAACATATGACAAAAGTTTGTAGAAAGTTTTTTAAAAACCACAATTCATTGAATACAGCGTGTCACAATGAAGAAATCATAAATTAATATTACTATCAATGGGTATTTCATGATAAGACGAGAATGATAATATGATAAGTTCATCGAGAAAGTAAACTCTCGACTGGAACTCGTCCTCCATTGGAACCCTTTGTCGTCCGAAAATTTAAGATATGAAATAATTCTCCAAACAAACATATGTATATGTCGTCAGATTCACAGCAATTCGATTTCTTTTCTTTTAAGAGAAATATAGATAAACATGCAAGGTTAAAGGTCACACCATTTTATATTCCACACTTGTGGTTTTCAATTTTACACTGGAATATTCTACAATAAAATACTTTAGTGTTTACAAGGGGAAAAAAATTTCTACTAATGAAACTTTTTAAAATAAATAAATTTAATTTACAAAAATGCAAAATAGTTGAATTTGTTAAGCCAATTGCAAAAAATGATTAAAGTATACCAGTGTGTCGTGAATGATTCATCGATTATACGTACGTATGTTTCCCGTGTACGTGTGGTACAATACTAAAGATATGGATTGAAATATGAGAGAATTTGAATTTGAGATTCAATTTAATATAACAGACTATTGTTCCAATTTACATGCATCAAATCTGAAACAATAACAATTTGTTACACAATTATGGATTAATAATCAAATTTTAGTCAGAAAATTAATTAAATAACATTTTTGGATGTTTTTTTTTTCTTTTTTTCTTTTCTAAATATTACAAGTATTGACAATTTATTAACAAATCGATTAGAAAGAGTAGTTTAACAGTTGATGATTCATGAACATAATGAACTAAATATAATGAAAATTTTAAAATTGTGACATAACTTTATGACTGCTCTTAGAATCTATTAAATTAAGAAGTAATTAAACAATTTTTTATAATCAATGACATTTAGAGCAAATTTCGCATTTTATTCGTATTTTCTCACATTATTTCGAATAAATTATATTACTACACATCATCATTTTGCTTTTTATGCTTAGGAAATTTACTGATATTTCCTATCGAACATGTGTTTGCCAGAGATTCAGCTTATTTTTTCGAAAATAATCAAATTACAAAATACATATCAATCTTTACTGGTTTTCATAGCTATATATCATTCGGAATACTTCAAAAAGCATAAATTTAGATTCATATAATAAATATTTTTTCTTTGAACATAGCAAAATGGGGAAGAAATGTCTATCTTTCCAAGAGTTATTACACTTCTTCGAATACTTTTAATTTATATATATAAACTAAAATATATAAATTCTAATATATATTTCATTCCAACTTGTACAAATAAGTGGAAACTGATAAATAAACTTTTTTTTCCAATGTTTAAAGAATAAAAAAGTAAAGTAACATACATAAAATGCTGATAAAAAAAATATATTACCAGAAAAATAAGAAAAAAAATTCAGAAGGTAGAAGCAAGAGTAAAATTCACTGGTGGTTCGCCCTTCCGACCGACTAACAAATAAGTATCCATGCCACCATCTACTCCTTTTACTTCAATATGATCACGATATTCAAAGTCATAGCGATCACACAATAAATCTCGAGTTTTCTGAGATACCTGTAAATATTAAATTTATAAGTCACAGAAATTATCAAAGCAAAAGCTCTATGACCTAGCAAATTCCATCGCACAAATTAAATTCTTAAATTACAATTTAAATTAAAGAACAAAAAAGAAAAATACAACCTGTATTCGATTTTGCACACCGGTACTGTACATTCTAGATGCAATGTTCACTGTATCACCCCAAATATCGTAGTATAGCTTCGTGGTACCAATAACACCAGCTGTCACCGGGCCAATATTGTAGCCAATTTTACAAACAAAATCAAAATTCAACAAATCTTGATTAAAATAATTCAGCTGTTGTTGCAGACCTATTGCAAATTCCATCAACTAAAAAACAAACAAAATTAATTTCTAAATTCAGAAACAACATAGTATTAATAAAATCGAAATACATTAAAAAAAAAAAAAAAAAAAAAAAGAAACTCGCACTGAAGATGTTCATTAACTTTTCATCACTCTTACAATTAGTCAGAAAAATGAAAACTTTTAACATCTAAAAAAAGAATCTGCGTAATTTTTGCCTCTTACTGGTTGGTTCGTTTTTCAAAAAATGAATTTGAATTTGTCTAAAATTTAATAGCTGCAGCAAATTTGCTAGTTTTTGCAAAATCAAAAACCTGATAAAGATGTTCATAAGGATGCTGAGCTGAACGCCTTTTATCTGGATTTAATCCAGCTGCTGCCATATATGTAGGTCCAATAGTCTTGATTTTTTCAACCTGTGAGAAGTCAGGTCTATCAAGCAATTCATCAAAATCTCCAATAATTTCATTTAATACTCGTAAAAATTCACGTCCTCCTAAAATATTCAACAAATTCTTCCTGTTTTAGTTTTATATGCATAAGTTCTTCTTAATGAAAGATTATTGAGATCTGAAATATTTTCATTAGTTCGCACAAAAAAAAAAAAAATTTCTAACAAAACAACAAACAATTTACTCAACGTTTTTTTATGAAACATTGTCTAAAATTTAAAAAAAAAAAAATTATCTTTGACTCTCTTATTGCATATGTTAGATATTTAAACTAAAAAATAATGCATATGTTAAGATATTTAAACTAAGAACAAATCTTTGCCAAAAAAAGTTAAATCATTCAAAAATTTAAATTCAACAACAAACCCTCAAAAGTTTCTTCATACATTTCATTCCAATTGGTTATTGTAGCGAAAAGAACCGCTGTTAGAGCATGATTTTTAGAATATCTGATACTTGATTTCAAGGAATCTATGGCATGTTGTGGGATGATATTTGTTAGAAGCCAATCAGCTTGATCACGTACCGCTTGCATTTGCCGCATGTCACGTTGTGCTTGCACATCACCAAAGAAAGACATTCGAAATGCAGCTTCAAACTAAATTAATTAACATATTAAATATATTAAGTTAAGATTTTGAAATTTTAATATCCAAATTTTTGTCTGAGAAGCTAGCATATTAATGTAAGCAAATTTTTTTTTGAAAAATCACTAGGAGGTTTAAATAATTATATATGCTAAATATTAATTGTTAAATTGATTTTCATAATCATTTTACAAAAATCTAAATACATAAATATTTGCTATATAGATTTCTCATTTCTAAGTGCATAGATAAAATAAAATAAAAAAAATCTTGCCTGATAATTGAGAAAAGCAACTAAAACGACAACCAAGAAGACATCGATACAAATTTCAGGTAAATTAATAGGAGAGCCAAATCGTCCTGATGCCCAAAGTGGCACAGTACCATTGCAGGAACGTTGTTCAATATTTGAATTACTGGATGCTACAATCTGACTGAGATTTTTTTTCCGAAATTTAATTAAATTATTGAAAATAAAGTCTAATATAAATGTATTTCATCAGATAGGCTTATCTATCAACAAATAATAATTTACAAGGAATGGAAATTTAAAATAAGAGCAATTTTTTATTTCTTAGATGAAAAACTTACATTTGTCGACTAATGTACCAATTCGATACTGGCAAACATAAGTAAGCCATAGAAATACAATACCAACTAATAATGCTTCAGCTGTTTTTGGCCAAGCTGAGAGTTGCGAAAAATTGCAATGTGCAAATAATGCAACCAGAAATATATAAGCTAAAATAAATAATCCTACTTAGCTTGTAGCTAAAGAATCGGAATTGGTTGAAAAAAAAAAAAAAAAAATATATGCTTGAAGTTATTATAAAGATGGTAAAGATTGTGCAAAACTATATTGCATGTTGAATAATATAAAAATTAATTTTACAAAAGAAACATTTTTACTATTAGCCTTTAAGCACTGGATTTTCAATGCAATCTTTTAAAGCATATTTAAATTTTAATTTCAGGATGAAAAAATGGAAATCTGCAATAAGTATAAATAAATCAGAAGTTTTTTTTTTTCTTTTAAAAAAAAAAAATGAACATACAAAATAAAATTCGCTGTGTGAGCAAATTTGGCGAAATACATGCATATTCCTGGGCAATAATATCATCACATAAAGGTGCTACTGTTAATGCAACACCCGCTGGTAGCAATATAAGTACCATTCCTGAATAAACTGTCTAAATTTTTGTTAATACAAATATTTTTACAATAGAAAATGCACAACCAAATTAGAATTATAATACGAGTAGACAAAGACTGAGAGAAGTTAAAAAAATAAGATTTCTTGATTTGTATTTGTTACAGATGACCTTTTAATGTAATAATTAAAAATTTAAATTATTTTGCAATTGAATTATAAAAAACACCTTCATATGATAGAATAGAGAGTGAAAGTATTATAGGAATTGCCTAATTACTTAGACAAATGCGTACTAATATTACATGCAGAAGAATAATTATCTAAAAATGACTCATAATCTAAACGGTTAAAATATTTTCTATAAGTGATTTTATAAATGATCGTTTTATCGTTTTACCATTTTCTTCTCTCTTTACTTATCACAAAAATAAAGAATAAACATGATGATCTAAAAAATGATCTAAAAAAAATGAGCTAATCACCTGTAATATGACGTGGTGTCCAAAGATTAACAAATGGGAAAATCGTCTGACGCCTTATCAATGGTATACCAATGACAATGATAATCAATACTGTAGCAATAAGTGAGATCGTAAAATATATAATAAAAATTGTATTTAACATTCCCGAAACAAGAATTGCAACTGCGCAAATGACAAGTAACATCCCAGCTACCAGTACATCAATAAATACACCCGAATAATGATAATGTAAATCTGAGTTATCAATTTGTGATGCCTAAAAAAATTTGCATTCCTTATTGATCATGAAAAATTTGAAATTCAACTAAAATATTCATAATGGTCAGTTTAGATTTTTTATGACATAAAATGGATTATAAATATATACAAGTAACTTTTAACTCTTAACAAACATTATTTAAACGATAAAATGAATTTTGAAAGAAACATTCATAGTTAGTTTAGATAGATTCTTGAATGATAAATACTTCGATAATTACTATTAATCTTTACTTATTGCAAAATATTACATTTATGATTCATATTTATGAATCAAAAAAGTGACAAACATTTTTGCATCGTCCTACATCACAACTAGGCCATTGATGGTCAGCAGATTCTGCAAAATGTGCCCTATATCGCTCTTCAATGTTTACTTCATTAAATCGTAGAGTCCATCTGTTCAACCAATCATTACGCATCCAGAAACCACGATTAAAATTAATATCTGAATTCTGAAAAAAAAAAAAAAATATAGCACGAAATGAAATTCATTTCCAAAAACAAATCCGTAAATATGTTAGAGTGATAAAATTCAAATTATTTCTAATTAAATTTCATGAAAATTTTATTACAATGAAATTTTTATTTCTCGCTATAAAATTTATTAGAAATACAAAAATAATGAAAGCAATCTTTTTGATAGCAGCATGATATACCAAAAAAAAAAAAAAAAAAAAAGAATAACATCATACCTGAATCACTATAGCAAGGCGTTCGTCGAAAGCACGATCATCTGTATCAAATCGTGTTAAGGATGGAGCATTTTGATGATAGGAGATTGCAGTCTCGATTGGACCTGCACAAGAAAAAGTATCCGAAATTGAATCCTGAAAAATATGGAAAGCGAATTTGAATGAAATGTATGATAGAAAAATTAATATTAAAACTGAAAGATTACTATTACATTTGAGATTTCAAATTAGGATAATAAAATTAAAATTTCAAACAAAGTAAAGATTTTGAAAGTCAAATACTCAAAAAAACAACTAATGGAAGATTTAATTGTTGACTTTTTATTTATTCGTCTTTTAATTTACATTACAAGAAAGGTTTATTAATAATTAAAAAAAAGAAAAATAAACCTGCATTCCTGAACTCTTTGAATTACGTCTGCTACTTCCGTTTAGTAGTTCACGTGACATTTTACTATCTAACTGATCAATTATACTGAACGATTTTGTATCATCCGGATGTAAAGCATGTAATGAAGCAGATTTACGCCTTTTTTCAATAACCGGTGATTTACTATTCGCATTCTGAAATCAACAAAAATATTGTTTTTTTTTTTCTTTTGAAATAAACACAAATATTCAGCAACAATATCCAGTCAGCAGTATTCTACATGCCATTTAATGTTGTTTATTTCTACCAAAATATTTCAAAATTACAACACTAAATAAGAATCCATACTATGCGTAATACTATTCGATCTTAATTTCATGCTTTTTGCTTAATTTTTATTCTCAGATTTCTAAATTATGTAAAAAATAAAAACCTTATCCAAACATTCACTGTGATGAAGAATTTGTGCAGAATTACTTTCACACTTCCTTTCCAATCTTTTCATCTTCAAATTACCACTATACCGTTCAACAGGTATTGATGTTGTCTGCATCATTTTAATTTTATTTGTTAATCTCTGCAAATAATTGTAAATTTAAAATTTCGTCCTTTTTTTTTAAACTCTAACTAATTTACTTGCATACATTACTCTATGCTTTTAAATATTACATTAAATGTATACTTTCTAGTGATGAAACTACAATATGATAATGAGAAAATAAATAAAAAAGCCAAAAGAACAAAATTTGAAAAATTCGCTTCTTATTGCTGTTTCTTCCTTAAACAATCCAATTTTCTTACATTTTTTTTAACCCTAACAAAAAAAAAAAGGAACACAAAAAACAATAAATCTTTCATTATTTCCCAGTATTATGCTGATACTAAAAATTTGCAATATTAAAATGTAATACAGAAGCAACAAAATTAACACAAATATTGAAAAATAAATTTTTGAGAGCTAAAAAAAAAAATTTGTAGAGGATAACAACTGCAAAATAAACCTTCCGGAAGCTTATTTGGGAATGATTTATTTGGGATCCAGTTGAAAAGATATCACGTACTGAATTAGAACAGGAATTCGTTTTATTCATTGAACTGTACATATCACGCACACGGCCAGCAATAAAATAAGTTTTCATACCTGAAAAAAAGTATGGAAAAAAAATTTCAAATTTTACTTCATCTCAAAAATGGCAATTCCAAGCTTCAGGCATTTCAAATTTACTTTTCATTTCATTTCATCACCAAAACATTCAAATGCTTAAAATCGCTGCAAATTTAATTTTCATTTTATTTCATCTCAAAAAAAAAAAAATTCTTAAATTTTTGGACTGTACCAAATTTAATTTTCATTTTATTTTATTCTGAAACCCCTTTTAATTTTTTGAATGCCCTTCGATTTTTTATTTTTCTTCTCTCTGTTTTGTTTCATCTTTATTTTTCAGGATTTTTTTTTACATCGCATACCAATCGAACTGGAAAAGTCATTTTGAAAGTTCAACGATTTGTCAACTTTGGCAAATTTACGCAGAAACAAAATACAAATTTAATTTTCATCCTTCATTGAATTTAACAAAGATACATCGCTTTTTCACCTTTCTAGTGATTCCCTCCTTCCCAATTCTTATCAATCAATTCGTTTTTTTTTCTTTTAAAAGAAGCCAAAATTCATACAAAGAAATTCCTAAATGGTCTTTTTCTTTTGCTTAAAAAAGTTAGAAAGAAGCTGATTGATTAAAGTTGATTAAATATAAACTGATCAAAGTGAATGGTTTAACACTTAGGAAACACGTTGCTATTTTTATTTTTCTCTGAATTTTTAAAAAAATGGCAAAAAAAGAGTAGAATTCTGACAGTTTCATACGAGATTTACAGTTGATTTTTTTAATGTTATTTTAATAAAAATTCTATCTTAAAAAAAAAATCAAATTGATAATTTAGAAAAAAAAAAAGTAAACAGACATAAAAAAAAAAGCTTGATATATATGTATAAGGAAAATAAAAGATACCAGCATAATCAGGTCCATCTTCTAGGATATATTCATTATTTAAAAATTTTGCAGTAACTTCCGAAATATGTATACGTCCAGCTATTCCTGTTGATTCCATTTCATTTGCAAGTGTTACATCATTTGAAAAAACATCAAATTTGAATCGTTTCATACCAACCATACCACATAAAACCTTAAAATAAGCTCTTTTGAAAAGTAGAAAGTAGCAAAAAATACGAAACATTACAATTTCAAAAATTCATAAACATTATTTCCATATGGGAAATCTCAAAATTATAAAATTAATGAAAGGATTAAACAATATTTTTAAGATTTCTGTAAATTCTTTAGCAAGTAATTGAAATAAATGAAATTTATAACCATAAAGTTTCACTATAAAAAGTAAAAAAAAAAAGTGCTGCAAAAAAAAAGGAAAAAAAAAAGACAGATTCTTGATTTCGATAAAAAGTCATCAAAAGAAAATGGTGTTAAAAATGATAAGAAATGAAAAATCAATCAAGAAAGGTAATTAAAGGAAAAAAAAAAAAAACAACAAATGTAAAGTAAACACAATAAATGCATGCAAAGTAATTTGTTTTTTTTTATGTTAAAATCTGAAAAATGAAAAAATTTACTTATTTTATGAAAAATGACAAACATATACCTACCTTACCGGTATGTATTCCAACACGCATATTAACATCTTGACCACGATCTTCGTCAAATTGTTGGATAGCAAGAATCATTGCAAGGCCCATTTCAACACAGCAACGAGCATGATCAGCTCGTGGTTCGGGGCAACCTGCTACACAATAATAACAATCACCTGAAATTTATTAAAATTTATTTTCATCCGAGTTTTTATCTATTAATTATAAAATTATGCAAACAGTGATTGGTAATAAATCATATAGCTTCATGAAATTAATAGCATTTAAAGATTGTGAATTCACAAGTAATTAATAGTTAATTTAAATACAAAAGTACAAAATAACCTAATGTACTGATTTTTTCGAGATTGCATAGACCACATAAATAGTCAAACCGTCCAAATAAATCATTAAGCAAATTCACCAGCTCACTGGCTGATTTGTTTGATGACATTTTTGTAAAGCCTAAGAGATGATATATACATATGAAAAATACTTTTCAAATTTCAAAAAACTGAAATAAAAATTAGATATTTGCTAACAAACATATAATTTTAAAACTAATGAATTTCAACAAATTTCTAAAAAAATAAAGAAGAAATAAGATGTGCTTTCATTTTACGATATATCTTACATCAAATCATTTTTTTTCTTCTTTTTTTTCATGTTAATTTCTTTCTTTCAGAATAGATTGAGAGTATAATTCCGATAATAAATGATGAATAAATATATAAGAAACAAAATTACTTACCAGCAATATCGGCAAAAATAATAGAAACATTAGTCATCAAATTCATCGTAAATGGTCGAAACTTTCGAACATTTGGTGCTAACAATGTTCCTGCTGATGCATTTGCTTCTCGAGTATTTTGGAAGTGATCTTTTGCACTCTCTGCACTTGTCGTACGTAAATATGCATCTTGACTAGCCGATGACCTTCTTACATTGGTTTCTTTTAGCAATTCATCAGCAACCTAAAATGGAAAAAGTTAAAATTAAACAGGAAAAGAATCAAACAGACGTAATCAAAGGTCAAAATATTAAAATGCTCAAAATGAAAATGAAAATAGAAATGTTAATAGTAGAAAGACATGGTACTTCAGATTGTGCATTTAACAAAATAGAAATATTTTGATATGAAATTTCTGCCATATGTCTGCCATAAAAAAAAAATAAACCTTTTTTGGCATAACTGATTGTATCATATGATCTTTCAATTGTGTTTCCATTTCTAGATCTTTACGCGCAAGTAACGATTGTCCTACTCTTAGAAACGTTTTCCGCTGACGAACTGAAAAAAAAAAGCATAAAAATTTCTAGTTTATAATTGAAAACAAATTTTTAGCTTTAAAAATTCCATGCAATATAATTGATTAAAGTTTATACTTCAATTCAAATTAACTTATCTGAATCAATATCAATTATTAAAAATAATGAAATGAGAAAATACTTGAGTAAATATATATATATCGATTACCTTGTGTTAAAATGAATAAATGAACACCAAGTAGATTGATACCAAAATGGAGGATAAGTTTAACACCTAACGTATCACCGTAACTCATACTTCCAGCAGTGATCATTTCGAATAATATCGAATAAATTAAACCAATGCAAATACATAGATATAGTGGTAATGGAACTACTGTATAGATTAATAATACTACCTGTAAAATAAAATAATGAATTAATAAGAATGACTTAGCTATATGCCGTAAAAATTTTGAATTTTTCGTATTACATAATCATTCAATTTTAAAGATAACAAAATACATAAAAATTTGAAATAAGTTAAAATAGAAAATGAAAAAAAAAAAAAAAAAAAGTTGCCTGAAAACTTGTGGCTAAATCACCAATAGGACTCATGAAAGAACCGGATTTATCAGAGAAAATAAGTAGAGTTACAGTACAAAGTATAAAAACACAAAGAAATGATGCTGGCATATAAAAACGTTGATAATGTACGGAAAATAATGTAAAGAGAAACATTCCAAATGATATTACAAATAAAGTGATCGATATTAGCTGAAATGAATATCTCGAAATAAGTGTACGATTGATATTAACAAAAGTGAAATGAAGTAAAACTTGACTGAATTTAAAAAACAATTAATTATTGTAAATTATGGATTTAGTTTAACTTCATCTCAAATACAAATTAATTTAACAATCGCTTTATTAGTATCTGCTCCGATTTTCAATGCAACATAAACCATAAAGGTAGCACTATTATCCTATAAGGTTATATATGTCGTGATTAAGTCTAAGTCTACCAATAAGTCTAGAAGATTAACCACAAAAGATTGATTATAATAAATTAAATTAAAGTAAAGACAAAAAAACAAAAAAAAATTAAGACTAAGTTGAAGTAATTTGTAAAAAATTTACCAAAAAAAAAAAGAAAAAAAGTAAGATAAAACTAGAAATAATTTAGATATAACTTACCCAGTGTATTAAGCTAGCATGATTAAAAATTTCCAAATATATAATCCATAAAATACATGATAAACAAATGTATACAAGTCCAGATCTAAAATTCTTCTACTATAATCATTAGTTAATGATTGCAATAATTTCAATAAAAGTGATAAAAAATTTTAAATTTTTGCTAAACAATATTTCATTAATGCATTAGAGAAAGAAAAAGAAAATGACAAATAAATAAGTTATAAAAAATTAAAACAAAAAAAAAATACAAAAATAAAATAACAAACCTAAATCTATCTCTGAGTTGTGGAAAACTGCATTTCCAATATTGCGTTTCTAGAGCTGTTGATGAAAAATGTGGATTCCACCATCTTGTAGAAACTCTCTCGAAGAATGATGCATGTGGTGGACTTATAGAATGGCCATGTGTCTAAAAAAAAAAAAAAAAAAAAAATGATTAATAATAATTTAATTTTTTAAAATTCATAAATTTATTTTTTACATTTATAATTCTCATTCGTTCTCTTCTTTTCTTTTTTTTCTTTGCTAACTGATTAACTGTAGATAATAATAATAATAATACAATATCATAAATTAAATATAATAATGAAATTTTGATTCTTAATCATTTTGAAATATTCGTTTTTTTTTTTCTCTCTCTCTCTCTCTTTCTTTTTTTTAAAGAAAAAACAAAACAAAACAAACAAACGAAAGAAAGAAAAAGAAATTATTGATTAATCAATTTAAATTTAATTGATAGATTGAAAAAATAAACAAAAAAAAAAAAACCATTACTTCAGTGATCGGATGTTGTTCACCACTTGAACCATTCGGTATTGGTGTCTGTGAACCATTGCTACCAGAAGCACTGCTACCAGTAACACCTCGAATACCAACCGATGCTGCTTCTGCTGCTAACATGCTAACTGCTTCATCAACCATATTCTCATCTTCTTCATCGTTCCGCATCCTCTTCCTTTTTCTTTTCTTTTCTTGTTAAAAATACTTTTCGTTCCCTCTTGAGGATTAATTTTTCCTCTCTCTCTACCTCTCTCTCCCTCTCTTTCCTTCGTTCTCTTTGTTTTGTTTTTAAAATTCTTTTTGTAGTTTAAATTTTTTTACTTGATTAATTTTCAAATTTCAATTAATATGCTATTTTCAAATTATCAACCTATACTCATCCTTTCTTTGTTTTATTATTTTTTTTTTTGTTCTTTTTTCTTCAAAAAAAAAAAAAAAAAAAATGAATGAATGAATGAATGATAAAATGATTTATGATTAATTGTAATTATCACTGAATGTTACTTTCATTCATTGTTAATAATTTTTCTTTTTTCTTCTCCATAATTTCAATATAAGCAGCTATAATATAAGTTTGCAAAATATTAGTGAATAATAATCTGAAATAGAAAAATGGAAATGAATTTTTATTTATAAGAAATAAAAAAAGAAAAAAAAAAATGAAATATTTCAATAAATTCGTAATTACATTCGAATAATAATTGCATAAATAATTTATACTATCATGAAACTCTCTTAAAATGTTCATTTAATTACAAAATATACAAAAAATATTTGATACTTTTTAAAAATTTCTAGCATTCCTAAAGTAAAACAATATTATATATTTTTTTTTCTACAATATTTTAAAATACTTTCTGTCTTTTTTTTTTTTTTTCAATATTAGCAATTTGTTTATTATTTATTTCATAATTAAAATAATGCTTAATAAAGCAAATCGAAAATATGCTTAATTTAAGCAATCATAAAAATAAATATTAAATTTAAGCAATCATAAAAATAGATATTTGGCTAAGAATTTATTCCTAACATCAAATGAAATGCTTGAATGGAAAATTTTTTATAATAAATATGAAAAAAAAAAGATAGTTTTGAAGATGAAAAGCATAAAGTAGGCAATTAGCAGAAATTAACTAATACAATAAGATTAATTGTAGAATAAATTATTATCAAAACTGATAACTCTAAAAATAATAAAAAATTGCTAAAAGATTTAATATTAACTAATGTGAAATGATCAATGTTTGAAATATAACAAAATTTCTTGCAGAATTTCCCATAAATTTTATTAAAAATTAAAAAAAGAAAAGAAAAGAAAGAAATTATTTTTAAGCATTACTTTTTTTCTTAAAATAATAACATATCAATGGTATTTATCAATTTTTCTTTTTTCTTTTTTTTTTTTAAATTTCATCAAGCAGAAAGAATGTTTATATACTTTTATAATTTTTTCTATAAAAAACTATAAATATATTGAAATTATATAAAAATTAATTTTGATACATCAAAAATTATAAACAAATGCTGATAGTTGATAATATTGATTGTTTTTTTTTTTTTGTTGTTGTTGTTGTTTATGCAATAAATTTTACACTTAAAGCACAAAAAAAAAAAAAAAAAGAGAAAAAAAAAATAAAGAAAGAAAGTTAAGTATAATAACTTTAGAAAAGAGCTTTCTTTCAAAAATTCAAAAAATATATTGATCATTTCTATTTTATTCAATCAATTATAAAACTTTCTTCAAAAATTATTTCAAACTTCGAATAATTCTTCATTTAGTTAATTGAAAGATTTATTTTTGTTTTATTTCAATTTTTTATCAAATTATTTTAAATGAATTTTTTTTTTTTACTGAATTGAACTTTATTGAATTTTTATCAAAAATTTATCATCTTAACTTATTCAGATTATTGAAAAAAAAAAAAAAAAAGCAATTTTCACTTTCTTTTCCGTATTTTCCTCTTAGCTAATCATTCTATAATTGTATGATTTCTAAACTTTCTAATCTTATTATCATGCTGATAACAGCATTATCACACTACTCACTTCTATCATATATTTCTTTCAGATATATTTTTATCATTTAGCAATATTTATTGATATATTTATTTAGTAATCTAGCAAAAGCTAGTATTTTCCAAAGAAAAATTAAACATTTATTCTAATCATATTTATTTCTATAGTCTATTTCATCTCTTAGATTATCATCAAATTCCACTACTTTTTCATAAAAATGAAAATAACATAATTTAATCGATTCCTTGCAAACATCATATATGAGTGATACAAAAAGTTATATTTATTTCAACTAATCATATAAACATTCTAAAGGCTTATAACTTGAAATAAATATCAAGCTACAAATTACTATAGATGATAAAAAAGTTGAAAAAATAAATAAGTAAAAAAAAAAAAAAAGAATAAAATTTCAATGAACCAAAAAAGAAAAAAAAAAAAAAAAGTTCTCATCCTTTTTCTCTTATCATAAATAATCATTTATTACACTGATAACATTATCATTTAATCGATTTTTTTACTTACTATAAAATCAGATAATTGTAAAATAGATAGATTTGATAAATATTTCAAAGCAATATTTATACAAAAATATTCAAAACTGGAATACATGAAAAATTTGAATTTCATAGTTATGATAACATTATTTTTTTTCTAAAAAAAAAAAAAAAAAAAAAAATAATAAATAAATAAAAATGAAAAAATAAAACTGCAAATAGAGCAATGAAGGATAAAGGTAAATGATACTAAACGATTAAAGAAATTTTCATTCATATATCACTTGCATATTGATAATTTTTATTAGCAAATGTAAAGATATAAACTAAAAGTTTAACATAACAAAGGATAGAATGAATAAACAGAACAAATAAACAAATAAACAAACAAAACAAAAACAAAAAAAAAAAAAAAGATGAAAATTTGTATCCATTATTTCTAGCGTAAAAATGCTTTCATTCCCTGAGGAACTATAAATTTTCGAAGTTCATCGTTAAAAGATGAGAGGAAAAATGATGGAAGATGAAATAAAATGAAATGAATCATAAGAAAAGAAAAGAAAAGAAAAGCAATCGTTTTTCTTTTTTTCTTTTTTCCTTTAGCAAAGAAAAACATTTAGCACATAAATGGATTGAAAGTTAATATAAAAAAATAAAAGAGGGAAATTTTAATGGGTTAATATTGTTTGATTGCTTAATGCAAAAACTTTATGCAAAAAAAAAAAAAAAAAATTATACCATTTTAGTTTTTAAAATGGAAATTTTTGCATGAAATAAAATGAATGTGATAGAATTAGATTAAGCAAATAAAATTTTAAAATTTTACATATAAATAAATAAGCATTAAGAGAATAAAGAAAAAAAAAAAATGAATTGAAGTACTTATTCGTAAGGATAATAATAATAATAATAATAATAATAATAAGATATTAAAATATGTTATAAATGAATGAAGAAAATATAAAAATTCACTTCAAATAATATAATTATTCTAAAGGGTTTATTTAAATTTAAGTATGAATGTATTATAATTATTATATTAATTAAGTATTATAATTATTGTATGTATTATAATTCATCTATCATTAATTTGCTTATACAATAATATATTTGCTATTTTAATAATATGCTTAATTAGTTATTATCATAAATATTTACAAGTTATATTTGAAGCAAGTATATAAGTTGTATTATTTTTTGAGCACAGATGGATTGATGTAAAAGAATAAATGTGAAAATGATTACACTTAACTTCACGTCATAGTTCAAATCTAGAAATCAAACATCATTTTCATTTTTTTCATTTTCTAAATCTTACAATATTTGATTCAACAATTTAATTTTCATCTTATCGAAAATATTCATTTAGTTATTTCTATCCTTTTTTTTTTTTTTCAAATTGACAATTTAAAAAAACAAAAAAGAAAATTATTTTGCGATTCTTTTTTTTTTTTTTTTTCTTATCAAATTCTTATCAAATGACAACTATATTTAATCTTCCGCCAAAATTGGTAAAATTGAACAAGCCTTTTCTACAATCAATTTATATTACTTGCAAAACAAATAAACAATGAGACACAATAAACTTTAATGAATTATTAAATGAGTAAGTAATTAATTGAGAATAAAGGACAAATTAGCAGTGTGAAAATCAAACAAAAACAAAAAACAAAGTTACGAAGTGAAATAAATATTTTTAGATATAAATAAATATATAAAGTTATGGCCAATGGCCAAGTATAGAATCGTAAATTCGAAAGCTTTCAAAAAAGCGAATCAATCAGCTAAAATATGTATGTGTGCAAGTTGTTAGCCTATGTATGTGCCTTATATACATATATGTACGATGGCTACTAGGCCAATTCATTTCACTTTAAAAAGAAAAAAAAAAAAAAAAAAAAAAACTGAATCAAAATATACTCATATCAGAAATGAAATGAAATGGAAATGAAGTGAAACGAAATGGAAGTGAAATGGAAATGCAATGAAATGAAACGAAATGGAATGGAAATGAAATGAAACGAAATGGAATGGAAATGGAATGAAATGAAACGAAATGGAATGGAAATGAAATGAAACGAAATGGAATGGAAATGGAATGAAATGAAACGAAATGGAATGGAAATGGAATGAAATGAAGCGAAATGGAATGGAAATGGAATGAAATGAAACGAAATGGAATGGAAATGGAAATGAAATGAAACGAAATGGAATGGAAATGGAATGAAATGAAACGAAATGGAATGGAAATGGAATGAAATGAAACGAAATGGAATGGAAATGGAATGAAATGAAGCGAAATGGAATGGAAATGGAATGAAATGAAACGAAATGGAATGGAAATGGAATGAAATGAAGCGAAATGGAATGGAAATGGAATGAAATGAAACGAAATGGAATGGAAATGGAATGAAATGAAACGAAATGGAATGGAAATGAAACGAAATGGAATGGAAATGGAATGAAATGAAACGAAATGGAATGGAAATGAAACGAAATGGAATGGAAATGGAATGAAATGAAACGAAATGGAATGGAAATGGAATGGAAATGGAATGAAATGAAACGAAATGGAATGGAAATGGAATGAAATGAAACGAAATGGAATGGAAATGGAATGAAATGAAACGAAATGGAATGGAAATGGAATGAAAT